GTGGTGGATGGCTGGGAGGTGGGGGCTCCGCTGCCCTCGGGCTGCACCGCGGTGACTGTGGCCGTAGGCGTGAAGATGAGCTGGGGGGATAAAGGAACAGCACGGCCTAGGCTCCTAGCTACTTGCACAAGGTTACTTTGCTGGGCCTGGAAATCACATGAAATGTGTTGCCTTTTACGTCACCTGTTCCTGGCTCAGGCCGAGAAAGCAAAACCAGCAGCCCCGGGTCCCCCAGGGCTGGGCCGGCCAGAGGACAGGCCTCAGGGCACAGGGACAGCTGGGAGAGGGGGGCGCTGCAGGGATGGAAGAGCCGGGGCAGAGAGCATGACTGGCTGGAACGTGTACCGGGGAGGGAGTATGACCGAGAATATGGGTCTCTCTCAGGGGGTATGTCTACACTGCCACCCTAGTTCGAACAAGGGTGGCTAATGTAGGCATTCCAAGTTGCAAATGAAGCCCGGCATTTAAATATCCCGGGCTTCATTTGCATCTTGCCGGGCGCCACCATTTTAAATCCCCGTTAGTGCGGACTCCGTGCCCGCGGCTACACGTGGCATGGAGCAGGTAGTTCGAATTAGGATCTCTAATGGCGAGCCTAATTCAAACTACCGCACTAAGGGGGATTTAAAAATGGCGGCGCCCGGCAAGATGCAAATGAAGCCCGGGATATTTAAATGCCGGGCTTCATTTGCAACTTGGAATGCCTACATTAGCCACCCTTGTTCGAACTAGGGTGGCAGTGTAGACATACCCAGGGTGTGTCTAGACTACATGGCTCCATCGCGGGGCCATGGGAAACTAGCTTACCCGGCATAGGCAAAGAAGTGGGGATTTAAATAATCCTCGCTTCATTAAAATAAACATGGCTGCCACAAGCTGATCCGGCACAGCGCAGTAGTCTCGACGGCAGAATCTTGATTTATGACCTGAATGAATTATCCTGGGTCATCATGCACATCAAATAACGTTACATGATCTGGAAACATCAGTGAGGATTCATGACATTTTAGAGCTTTTTCAACTGACCAAGATGGACTGTAATTCTTGTCTTTTAGGAGTCTGTTTATTCATATAGTCCTGAGGATTTACTGCCAGGGCAGGACAGCAGCTGGGTGCCTGCCAGGGAGCTGCTGGGGTGAACCAGGCCCTGAGCAGGAGCAGCGGTGAGGCCAGAGCAGTGCACGGCCCCGACAGCAGCGTTCCCTGGGGAGCTGGCGCTTGTGCAGCCATGCAGGAGAGAGCCCAGTGCTGCCCAGTTGATTAGCAGAGCGCCCACAGTAGCTCTGGTTCTCCCCTGGTGGTGCACATTTGCACGTGCCTCTATGCACGTAAAATTATTCCGCATCTGGATGGAAACGATTAGGAACTATGGCCCGGCAGTGCTGTGTTTGCCCCCTCTCCACCAGGGGAGCCTTTTACTTGGTACTACAAGACAAGGACGGGTCACAGGCTTCCATGAACATCTATTACCCACAACCTGTCCCTGACTTTTACTACAAATCCCCAGGAGAGACTCTTACCTGAACTGTGAGTGTGTGAGGGACTGGGATTGGGGCGTGAGCGTGTCTGTATGGGGGGAGATGACACTGTGCACGTGAGAGACACGAGAACGGCAAAGGCCCGTTGAGATCAGTGTCCCATCTCCGACAGTGGCCATGCCAGGTGCCTCGGAACAGGCAGCCACCAAGTGACCCAGCCCCCTGTCCAGTCCCAGCTAGGGATGTCCACAGTCTGTTACAGTCTGTGTGAGCTTCGTACGGCAAAAGCCCACAGCCAAGCCTCTTGGGAGAAGGGCTGCCAGCCCCCGGGGAGCCAGTGTGTGACCTGCAGTGGGGGGGGGCGGGCCAGGCCCACCACAGACAGGGATGGCTCCAGCCAGCTGGAGGAGTCCCCTGCCTGGGGTGTGTGAGGAGCTGCTGCAGCCACTGCGGTTACCTGGAACCAGTGAGCGTCACCCATTTACGGTGATGCCTGCCAGTTACCCCTTCATATCCCTAGTCCCAGCTTTGGCGCTTCAGCTTGACTCTTGTGTGTGAGAGAGATGGGGCAGTGTCTTTGTGACTAGGGCATGTAAGACCGTGTGTGTGTGAGAGAGAAACAAAGAGCTCTCAGCTGTGTGTGTGTGTGTGTGTGTGTGTGTGTGCGCGTGTGTGAGAGAGAGAGAAAGAGAGAGAGAAAAACAGCTCTCAGCTCTGTGTGTGTGTGTGTGTGTGTGCGCGCGCGTCTGAGAGAGAGAGAAAGAGAGAGAGAAAAACAGCTCTCAGCTCTGTGTGTGCGTGTGTGTGTGTGACAGAGAGAAACAAACAGCTCTCAGCTCCGTGTGTGAGAGTGAGTGAGACAGCTCTCAGCTCTCTGTGTGAGTTAGAGATCAATTGTGCGTGTCTGTGAGAATCACACAGCTCAGCTCTATCTGAGAGAGAGATCAGTTGTGCGTGTGTGCATGCACACACACATGCACTGCTGACTCTGGGTCTTTGTGCCCCCATGTGAGCGTGCGACATCAGCTGGGTGTGTGCATGCACACAGGTGACACTATGTGGAGGTGTGCCCTGACGGAGTGGCTGCGCAGGGGACACTGGAGGCGGGGGGAGGAGGACTGGGGGAACTTGGCCGGCTGGCTGTGGGAGGTGGCACTGAACCAGTGTCAGCCAATCGCAACAGCTGCTGCCATCAATAACCAATCAGAAGTGCCCACCAGGCTCACAGTGAGCCCGCAGTCTGCCATCGACCCCCTGCAGCCTGGAGGGTGCCACTGGGCCTGGGGCTTTGAGCAGCTGCGCCCCACCCGGCTTGGAATCCAGCTCCCTTCTGTGCCCCCTCTCGGGGCAGCGGTGGGAGCTGTGTGAGCACTGCGCCTGCAGGGGGCGCTCTACCTTGCTGGGTGACGGGCAGCCCTGGGGCCCAGCCCTCACCGAGCCCCGTGCGATCCTACGCCCAAGCCGAGTGGGTGGGAACTGAGGGACCTGGCCCCCTCAGGGTCCCCGATGGGCTGGCACACTGCTGCCAGGATTCGAACCAGAGCTGCCCAGGAAGCCAGGGCTGAGACCTGTCCCGTTTCCCAGCCCCCTCCCTGGGGCCTGCCAGGGGTGGGGAGCCAAGCGCTCAGTGCCCTCCAGCACAGGAGCTGCAGGAGTAGCTCCACGACCTAGCAGCAGTAGTAGGCTCTTCTCCTGAGTGGCTCAGCCATTGCGGGATGACTGGGGTCCCTGCCCCAAGGCCAGCAGGCCCCAAGGAATGGTCCAGTGTTCCCCCAGCTACGGTCCAGGCTCTGTCTCCAGGCTTCCCACAGGCCCCAGCAGAAAGTGCAGAGGCCAGAAAGCAAAGCTCCTGTCCCAGGTATCAGTGGCACCACACGCAGCTAGCCCGGCAGGCACCCAGGTGCCCCCATGCCTACCCGAGTGAGCACAGCCTGGGCAACAGCAGCTCCTGCTGGAGTATCAGAGAGGACGTGGGGGGCACTGGAACCAGCACCGGGGCCCCTCCCCCTCTGCATTCGGTCCCTACTCACATCCAGCTGGAGCCCAGAGGGGAGGAACCAGTCTGGGGAACAAACACTACATGAGAAGCAGGGGGCACAAGAATGCTGGGCCACCCTGGGCCAGGCCTGGGGCAACACAGCCAAACCCAGGGGGGCCAGGGCTCCCCAAGGATGGCTGCTAAGCGACTCCTGGGCCTAGGGCAGCTGCTGGAGGAGCGAGGGCCATGAGGGAGGGAGCAGGGGTCAGGACAGTGGCTGAGAGGGGAAACCAAGGAACAGGAGGGAGCAGTGACGCCAGCTCAATGGGATCTGTGCAGAAGCCAGGCCGGAAACCAGCACCACTGGCTGCTTCAGCCTGACGGGAAACCAGCTGATAGGGGGATTGGGCTAGCAGGGGGCCATGTGTCAGGATTGAAGGGGTGTCAGCAGAGCTGGGGGAGCCCAGGGCAGGGCTAGCAGGGGGCTGAGTGTCGGGAGTGAGGGGTGTCGGCTCAGCTGAGGGGAGCCCCGTCTTAGGCCTTCCCCTAGCAGAGTTTTAGCTGCATTCATTTCATTCCCGTTAGCACCAGCCCCCCCAGGGTGTAGCTACGAACCTCCAGTGGCTTTTTCTTCAGCCCCCCACTCCTGAGCCTCAAGGCACAGGCCACAGCCCCACAGACGTGGGCAGGTGTCCTGCCAGCCAGATTCAGCCCCATGAGTGTAGGTAGGGGAGGCTGAGACCGCCGTGGGGCTGGCCCATTTTCCCAGCATGCATCCAGCCCCTGGCCTGGAGCAAGTTCCTGCTGCAGCCACATGGCACCAAAAGGGGCTAAGGAAACCCAAAGGGGTTGCAGGCGGCCTAGACCCAGCTCTGGGTGGGAGGGTAAGCAGCACAGTGCTCAGTCAGCCTGGCCTGCCTGATGTGCCTACGGGGACGGGACGGGTCTAAACTACGTTCTATTTTTGAAAGAGGATATGCAAGCTTGCAGGAAAAAACGGAGTGCAGCTTTTTTGAAAAAGGGTTTATTTTCCCGAAAAAACCGTGTCCAGAGTACTTTCACTTTCAAAAGCTCTGCTTTCAAAAGTGAGATTGGAAGAAGATAAGCAAATTCCCACAGAATATGCATATCCTCTTTCGAAAATAGATCAGAGGCTAGACGCAGCCTACCACATGGTGAGCTAGGACCAGAGAGGGGGCTCTTGTGAGGTCGCTGCTGCCCTCTGGTGGCGAGAGCCGGTAGTGCGTGCAGGTGTGAGTGTACCCGTGTCTCACTGCTGCCCTCTGGTGGCGAGAGCCGGTAGTGCGTGCAGGTGTGAGTGTACCCGTGTCTCACTGCTGCCCTCTGGTGGCGAGAGCCGGTAGTGCGTGCAGGTGTGAGTGTACCCGTGTCTCACTGCTGCCCTCTGGTGGCGAGAGCCGGTAGTGCGTGCAGGTGTGACTACCTGTGCCTGCTGCTCTTTGCTGGTAGCAGTCAGGGGTGTCTCTAGAAAAGCAGTGGGGGAAGGCGGGCAGGTGGTGCCCATGTGTGGCACATACCGTGCCTGCCGCTTACCATCTGGGCCCGGAGGTACATCTGGGCCTGGCTGGCCGTCAGGGCGGGGGAGGTGGCATTCCCCAGGAGCACAGCCTGCTGGGCGATGCCCGAGGCGGCGGCAGAGTTCACGCTCTGAGCTCGGTTGATCAGCTGGGCAGCGGCAGGGGAGGGGGCCAGGTTTATCTGGGGAGAGAGGAGCAGCCGTGGGCTGGGGCTGTTCGGAGGCCCCTTCCCCTCCCCCTCCCGCACCTTTGCACTGCGATGCAGGGGATCAAAGTGCCTATTGCTAGCGGGTGCTCTGCTCCACCCCCACCCCTGCTCGGCCCTCTCTTGCCCCCATTGCATCCCTCCCCCAAAGCTCCCTCCCTCAAGATGTGACCCGGGGGCTACGAGGGGCTGGTGCCGGGGGGCAGCAGGGGCTGGGGCCGGCTCTACGTCGCCTGTCCCCTGCTGCCGCCCCAGGCCAGACCCAGGTGATCACTCAGACTAACATCGATATGGGGGACAAAGTGCATGGCGCCGAGTCGTCCTGTGGACGGGACCCAGTGTTGGGGGCGGGGAGGGGAGCCCCACAGCCTCTGGCCAGGGAGAGAGGGTGGGGGTAGCCGCAGTCAGGCTCCCTGGGTCAGGAGAAGGCCAGCCCAGCAGAACGGGGGCGGAAATGGGGCTCTGTGGACACTGGGGCTCTCAAGTAAGCTCTTCCTCCCCAGCTCCTCCCCCAATGACCCCTCTGGCAGAGGGTTTGGGCCCATGCACCCCCTTCCCCCTGCAATTCCCAGGCCAGGCCACAGGGGCTGCTGAGCCCTCCCCTGCCCCATCCTGGGGGGTGCCCACCAGTGGCTGCACTTGGAGCTCTAGGGTCCCTGCAGCTGCAGGGGCCAGAGGCAAGGCCCAGCGGCGGGCTGCGTCTGCTCCAGGCAGCTCCTGGCATCACTGCCAAGGCAGAGCTGGTGCAGCCGGGGGCAGCTAGGCAGAGCGAGGGGCACTGCCCAGCGGTGGGACTTACCGTGGGCTGCTGGGATGGCGTCTGCGGGGGGGCATTGCCAGAGGAGCCGCCCTGCCTATTAGCAGCCAGACTCGCCTGGAAGAGAGAGCACAAGGCAGGTCACCCCATCCCAGAGCGCCCAGGCCGGGGGGCCCTGCAGCGTGATCACAGGCCCCAAGCTTGTCCCCAGAGAGGTTTGCTCTCAGGTTTCCCTGCAGCCCTCCCTCCCACTGAAAGGCGCCCAGATACAAAGCCCTGTGGCCAAGCAGAGCTTGGGGCCAGGACCCCACTGGGCAGGAGCCGTGAAGGCTGGCGCCTCCCCCAGGTGTCTCCAGGGGCTCGGTGGCTCCCGTTCACCCGGCTGCACTGGGGAACCAACGAAGCCAGCGATCAAAATGCTCCCTGCCTAGTGCCAGTCCTGCTCCCCTCCCCTCCCTCCAGCTGCCTCTCGCCAACCCCCTGAAGGGCACAGCTGAGCAACCCAGTCCTGCAGTGCCCACCTGTGGGACAGCCCTCTGGAACCATGGGTGGCACCTAGATGCCGTGGTGATGGGCCCGCGAGGACAGCCTGACGACCGGGAACAGGACAGGCAGACACAGCCCGTAAAGGGGAGATCGAACCCTCGTTCTGGGCCCGTCACCACAGCCCAACGAGCAGGCTCCTGATTCTGGGCCCTGAGCCCAGGCCGGGGCAGTGACAGCAGCGGGAGAGGAGAGCAGACAGCGAGTGCAGCCTCGGGCATCCTCCCTGCAGGGCCCCCCCCCGTACCTGTTGCACGGCCGCCAGGCTCTGGAGCTGGGCGCTGCTTAGGTGCTGCTGCTGCGCCGCGTACATCTGCTGCAGGTACTGCGCGGCCGTGCTGGGCTGCCGGTGCAAGGCCTGCTGGATCACCTGGCACGAGGGGCAGAGACGTGAGTCCCTCTGCAGTCGCAGCCCTGCCCAGCCCAGGCCTGCACCTCCCTGCCAGAGCAGGAGAGACCCTGCCCCCGCCTCGGCGGCCACTCCCAGCAGCCCTGGCTTTGCTCAGGCAGGTCAGAGAGGCCACGACCCGCTCATCTCCGGCGGAGCTTTCCAAGCTGGTTGGGGGCTGCTATGCCGAGGGCTCCCCCATCCATCACGCCCCCTGGCCCGCCCCCCAGCCATCAATCACCCCACTCAAAGCAGGCTGACAGCTCTCCTCTGGCCAGCCTATCTGGCATCTGTCCCAGGCCTGGCAGCCAGCCGGGGCAATGCAGAGAACATGCGGGGAAGGAGGGGGCTTTGGCCAAGTGCTTTCAGCCAGGGGAGTCCCCTCACAGGAAGCATCTGGGAGTAGAGAGGCCAATGGCCCGGCCCCAGAGAGCTTACATCAGAGGTGGGCACACTTTTTGGCTTGAGAGCCATATCTTGGTATGGAAGTTGTACGGAGGGGCTTACGAATGAATCATAGAACCATAGCGCTGGAAGGGACCTCGAGAGGTCATCAAGTCCAGTCCCCTGCCCTCATGGCAGGACCAAGCACCGTCTAGACCATCCCTGGCAGGTGTGTATCCATCCTGCTTTTAAATATCTCCAGTGATGGGGATTCCACAACCTCCCTGGGCAATTTATTCCAGTGTTTAACCACCCTGACTGGTAGGAAGTTTTTCCTAATGTTCAACATAAACCTCCCAGGCCACAGTTTAAGCCCATTGCTGCTTGTCCTGTCCTCAGAGACCAAGGAGAACAATTTTCCCCTCTCCTCCCTGTGACACCCTTTTTGATACTTGAAAACTACTATCATGTCCCGCTCTCAGTCTTCTCTTTTCTAAACTAAACAAACCCAATTCCTTCAGCCTTCCCTCATAGCTCCTGCTCTCTAGACCTTTCATCATTCCCGTTGCTCTTCGCTGGACCTTCTCCAATTTCTCCACATCTTGAAATGTGGTGCCCAGAACTGGACACAATACTCCAATTGAAGACTAATCAGCGCAGAGGAGGGCAGAATGACTTCTCGTGTCTTGCTCACAACTCCTCTGTTAATGCAGCCCAGAATCATGGTGGCTTTTTTTGCAATAGTGTCGCACTGTTGACTCATATTTAGCTTGTGGTCGACTCTAACCTCTAGACCCCTTTCAGCAGTGCTCCTTCCCAGACAGTCGCTTCCCGTTCTGTATGTGTGGGATTGATTGTTCCTTCCTAAGTGGAGCACTTTGCATTTGTCCTTATTAAACTTCATCCTGTTTACCTCTGACATTTCCTTAGTTTGTCCAGTTCATTTTGAATTATGTCCCTATCCTCCAAAGCAGGTGCAACCCCTCTCAGCTTGGGATCATCTGCAGACTTAATAAGCATCTTCTCTATGCCATTATCTAAATCAGTATTTCTCAATCTTTTTTTATTAAGTACCCCTTTAAAAAAATATAAGTACCTGCAGTACCTACCATTTTCAGAAACACAATTTTTTCATTGCAACACCTTTGTTTAACTGAATCATAGACACGTGGACAATGAAATTTTTGGGTGTAAAAAGGACAAAAATCAAGCGCTGTAAAACTTGAAACAAAAATTCAGTTCTCCAAATGTCAGTTGTGTTGCTGTAACCCCAGATCTCTCTCAGGTATCCCTACGGGGACTCGTACCACTGGCTGAGGAACACTGATATAAATCATTGATGAAGATATTGAACAGAACCGGCCCCAGAACAGACCCCTGAGGAGCCCCGCTTGTTATGCCTTTCCAGCATGACTGTGAACCGTTATAACTCTCTGAGTACGGTTATCCAGTCCATTATGCACACACCTTATTGAAGCCCCATCTAAGTTGTATTCCCCTGGTTTATTGATAAGAAGGTCATGTGAGACCGTATCAAATGCTTTACTAAAGTCTAGGTATACCACGTCCACTGCTTCTCCCTTATCCACAAGACTTGGTATCCTATCAATAAAGCTGTCTGATTGGTTTGACATGATTTGTCCTTTACAAGTCCATGCTGCCTATCACCTTATTATCTGCCAGATGTTTGCAGACGACTTCCTTAATTACTTGCTCCATTATCTTCCCTGGCACAGAAGTTAAACTGACTGGTCTGTAGTTTCCTGGTTCGTTCTTATTTCCCTTTTTAGAGATGGGCGCTAGATTTGCCCTTTTCCAGTCTTCCGGAATCTCTCCCGACTTCCATGATATTTCAAAGAACATAAGACTGGGTCAGACCAAATGTCCATCTAGCCCAGTATCCTGTCTGCCCACAGTGGCCAATGCCAGGTGCCTCAGAGGGAGGGAACAGAACAGGGAATCCTCAAGTAATCCCCCCCCCACCATCACCTATTCCCAGCCTTTGACAGAGGCTAGGGACACCGTTCTGACTCATCCTGGCTAACAGCCATTGATGGACTTACCCTCCATGAATCTATCTAGCTCTTTTTTGAACCCTGTTAAAATCCTAATCTTCACCACATCCTCTGGCAAGGAGTTCCACAAGTTGACTGTGCACTGAGTGAAGAAAAACTTCCTTTGGTTTGTTTTAAATCTGCTGCCTGTTCATTTCATTTGGTGACCCCTAGTTCTCATTTACTTGTTCCCATAACAGAACTTTTCTTTAGTCACTTTCTCCCCACCAGTCGTGATTTTATAGATTTCTATCATATCCCCCTTTAGTCTCCTCTTCTAAGCTGAAAGTCCCAGTCTTTTTAATCTCACTTCATAGGGGAGCCGGTCCAAACCCCTCATCATTTTTGTTGCCCTTTTCTGAACCTTTTCCAACACCAAGAGATCTTTGTTTGAGGTGAGGTGACCACATCTGTTTGCAGCATTCCAGATGTGGGCGTACCATGGTTTTATAGAGAGGCAATACGATATTCTCTATCTCTTTTGTAATGATTCCTGACATTCTATTTGCTTTTTGGATGGCCGCTGCACACTGAGTGGATGTTTTCAGAGAACTCTGCACAATGACTCCAAGATCTCTCTCTTGAGTTGTAGCTAAATTAGTCCCCATCATATTGTATGTATAGTTGGGATTATTTTTTCCAATGTGCATTACTTTACATATATCAGCAGGGCTCAACAAACAATACAATCTACTCACCACGGGCGAGTAGATTTCAGCCATGCGCCCTGTTCATTTGCAGCGTGTGCATGTGCAATGCGGCTCTTGTGCATGCACAGTACGGGACTGGCGAGCAGTTTTCACCGCCGTTCATCAAGCCCTGTTTATCAGCATTCAGTTCATTTGCTATTTTGTTGCCCAGTCATTTGGTTTGGTGAGATCTTTTTGAAGCTCTTCACAGTCTGCTTTGGTCTTAACTATCTTGAGTAGTTTAGTATTATCTGCAAATTTGGCCACCTCACTGTTTACCCCTTTCTCTAGATCCGTGGTCACCAACCAGTAGATCTCAGGGGCTCTAAGAGTAGCTCTTGAGCCCTCTCTGAACTGCACACCTGCAGAAGTGCTGGGCAGTGTCCTTTGAAATGTACAACGCTCCCTGTTGGGGCTCTTAGCAGGGGCGGCCTGTGAGCATAGGCAGACTCTGCGGTTGCCTAGGACGCCGCTGGCCCGGGACGCCCGATGATGTCGTCACGGCCGGCCTCACACCGCTCCTGCTCTTACGCATTTCAAAGACTGAAACCCCAGGGCTAGCAGGGGACTCTCGGAGCTCCCCGCTGGCCCCAGGCTCCATGCGGCGCTTCTACTTTGAAATGAACAAGAGCCCCAGCAGCACCACTGCACTGACACAGCCCGTCCCAGCAATGCCCACCCCGACGCGTTCACACCCCGCTCCCCTGGCCTCACACCGCTCCTGCTCTTACGCATTTCAAAGACTGAAACCCCAGGGCTAGCAGGGGACTCTCGGAGCTCCCCGCTGGCCCCAGGCTCCATGCGGCGCTTCTACTTTGAAATGAACAAGAGCCCCAGCAGCACCACTGCACTGACACAGCCCGTCCCAGCAATGCCCACCCCGACGCGTTCACACCCCGCTCCCCTGACACAGCCCGTCCCAGCAATGCCCACCCCGGCACGTTCACACCCCGCTCCCCTGACACAGCCCGTCCCAGCAATGCCCACCCCGGCACGTTCACACCCCGCTCCCCTGACACAGCCCGTCCCAGCAATGCCCACCCCAAGGCGGTCACACCCCGCACCCCAGACACAG